ATAAAGGAATGCATTCTGCGAGATAGTCCTTGGGAGGTTTTGTTTATTCCTTTGGTACTTGGAAGTTTACCACAGCCTCTTTTAAGACAGATGACAGACCAGATGATAGAAATGACCAGAGGATGGAGATGAGGGAGACACATCCTGTTCAAAAGTTCAGCTTAGTGGACCCAACTCCCTGCCTTGCTCCCTGCTCTCTAGTTCAGGGTTCCCAGTGATGTTCACTAAAGCAGAGCTGGGGCTACTTTGTGTGTTTAGTATTTGTGCCTACCAGGAACTAGCGAAAGAGTCCTTTCTTTCTGAGGTGCAAAGATGACAGAGGATTGACTGAAGCCTGTGGGTGCCCAGACACTTACCAAACATGACCAGCAGCTCATCATAAGGGCCATCAGCATAACCCGTGATGAGACAGAACTATAGTGCAGCCTCGCAGAGGCACCCATCATCAGGGATCCTAGCCAGCCTGTGTCTCACTCAGCTTAGGCTCCCTGCCTGTTAGACAGAAGGAACAGTGTCATCTACCAAGTTCCCTGAGAGTAGCAAAGTGGGATATGTTCAAAGACCCCTGCAACGTATTCCTGAAACTGAGAATAATACCCATGAGTGTTTGAACCTCGAGTGTCCCCCATAAACCCGTGTTTAAAGGTTTGGTCTCCAGGCTGGCACTGTAGTAAAGTGGTGGTACCTTTTCCTTAGGTCATGGAAAGTATCCAGAGAGATGGTAGGATCCTGGCCCCTTCCTTTTCCTCTTTGCTCCCTGGCCATGAGGTGTGTGTGAGGGATATGGGGGTGAGTTGCTCCCCCATGACCCTGTCATGATGCATTGCCTTGCCACACGAACTGAGCAACAGGGGAAATTTGTGCCTGGACCTCCAAAACTATTAGCTAAATTCAAATATTTCTCTTTATAATTTGCTTAAATCAGGTATGTTGCTGCAAAAAAGGAAAGCCCGAGAACATAGCACTGATGCCTACATAGATACATGTTACCTATGATAAACTTTAATTTACATATGAAGCACAGGAACAGAGTAACAAGATAATTAATAATACAGTAGAAAAATTGTAGCATTAAACCATAATAAAAGTCATGTCAACATGCTCTCTATCTCTTTTTCTTTCTTTCTTTCTTTACTTCCTTCCTTCCTTCCTTCCTACCTTCTCTCTGTGTGTTAATGGGCAGGTAGCCTATAAATGTGGACACAGTGAACAAGGGATGATTGGAACAATCCACATTCCATTCTAGAAATGATTTCACCACGCTACTCAGAATTACATACAATTTAAAACTAATAAATATGTCCATTTCCTGACATTTTCATTCAGTATTTTCAGACACTGGTTAACCACGGGTAACTGAAACCATGGAAAGCAAAATCATAGCTAGGAGGGAACTATCCTACCTACTTTGGCCTTCTTTTTTATATTCCCTTCATCCATCCTCAGCATCGTGTTCTTCCTGTATGTCCCTACTGGTTTTTGCTCTTGTTGCTGTCTCTCTAGTACACTTGTCTTGAAGGAGCAGGCTCCTGCCTCCTTGTCTTTTGTCTTGTGCTCTCACCCATACACATGCCCTGCTGTGCACAAGTACCAAGTAACTTGTGATTCAATACATGTCTTCAGTCCTACCCACTTGCAATTGTCTTCAGTTACACCAAGTGCTGTCAAGTTGGTGTCATTTGCTGTAATTAAGAGTTGAGGTTTCTATCTCATCGTAAGGTCAGTGTCAATGCCAGGTTTGCACCTGGAAGCCAAGTGGAGATAAACATATCTGCGTCCCAAGGCTTCAGGAACCCGGATTGACCTTCTCCCCGGTCTGTAATAAGGGTGATGATAAAAGGCCTTGCTGCTACCACCTCGAGCCCTCAACGTGGCTGTGCATCAGCCACTCTGTGAGTGAGTCTCTGTCGTAATCGGTACTAACAACATCAAGGCTACAGTATCTGATGTTCTCTCTTTTTAATCCATTGCACCTGTCAACCTGTCGTCAACAAGTTTACTTTATTCTGATATGATGGTCCCACGCAGAGCCTTGAGGACTATCCTGTTCTCTCCAGGCTATTTTCTGAGGGGCTCCCCCGATCTATACAGACTGCTGCTCTCCAGGAACAACCTTTGTTTTACCTTATAAACCAAAGCCCTAGTAACCACCTATACCTGTGCAGAGTTCTCAAATGTGTTTTAGATCACCTCATGCTCACAGAGGACCACACAGATGACATCCCTCTCCAGAACACCAGGCACTTTGGAGGCACTGAGTTAAGGGCTTCAAGCCCAGTAGGTACATGTGTCTGTCTGTTTGTGAACAATGGTCTAACTTCTGGCTCAAGACCCTCAGGATCCTCTGGGGTCCTCTAGCAGCAGTGACATACACAGTGTGGACAGGATTACTGCTTGGGCCTGTGAGTGCATCTGTGCTGGGTGTGTCTATGTGTTCATATGAGTGTGTATACATCTGCATGCATATACATGTCTGCAGATGTGTGTGTGTGTATGAAGTGACCTCCAGTTTTCTAGGATACTGCTTCTAAAAGAAACTACATGGCTAGTTGGGTTAGAGCCTGCAGCACACAGCAGCCTCTCCAATGTGTCTGGCAGTAGATGCTGCTCTATGCTCAGAGCAGAAATGTCACCACTTCCACTAGGATGTGTTGTTCAAAGGCAGTCATGGGACCCATCCTGAGTCATGTAGACAAGTGAAATGCCATAGGGCAAAGCGGTGAGGAATCACTGATGCCTTGTTTACAATCGCTCTACCACACCTCATATAAACAAGGTTCCAGACACAAGAGGAAGCATGTGCATACATGCGAGTGCACACACACATGCATACGTGCATGCACATGTAAATGTACAATCAATAATTCAGTATCACTGCTTGGCAAGGAATTTACTAGTCCCTTTGCAAAGCATTTCGTTCCATTCTTTCATGCAACAGGACTCATATACAATTCAGGAATGGAGAAGCCGGAACAGACTGCTTAGAGGACTCAGTTCAACTATGGGGTTAGCAGGAGACAGAACTAGCATCTGAACCTCCCTTAGGAGTCTTCTTGAGAAGCTTACTCTCTCTAACCCTCCCTCCCCAATCCTGCACCAAAGGCATAAATGCAGCAGTAAAGACCTCAGATTTATTTTCCACCTCCAAGTGTTTGAATAAACGAATGTTAAAAATTTGTTTTAATTATACTGTTACATAAGACAAACCTTAATCATATTATACTACTTGACCAAAATCCAGGTTACATAAATTTACTTATGGCAACTAAAACCCATATGTGAATGTCTTCAGCACCCTTGGCTGAAATAGCTTCTACTGTCCCTTGGGAAATGTACTCCTAACCACCCTCATCTACGGCCCACGTCCTCTCTCCTACCATCTCCAACCTTCCCTACCTGACTGCCCAAGGTGTGGCCCATGGCCAGCAGCACTGTCACCACGCAGCACTAGTAAGAAATATATACTCAGGCTCCAGCCCAGATGCGATGAGCCAGAATATGCACAGCTGCAAATCCCCAGGTGTCTGGTATGTGCCTTGGAGTCTGAAGATGCTGCCTTACAGATGCTTCAGTGAACTATAGTGACTCTGCTGCTTCATCCTATTATTAACCCAAGTGACATCTGGAATCTTTACATTATTTGTGGGTGTATGGTTCGTTTTCTATTGCTATGAGAAAATATCTGGGGTTGAGTACTTTATAAAGAAAAGAAGTTTATTTAGCTCAGTTTTGGAGGTCTACGAGCATAGTGCTGGCATCTGCTCAGTTCCAGTTAGGATTATCTGATTATAATACATGATGCCCAGATGATATCTGGTAGGAAGATGTGTGAGATCGCCTGATGCGATAGGAAGCAAGACACTGGGGAGGGCCCAGCATCACTCTTTTATAAAAACTTGTACCCTCCTCTTTTTTGGCCAGTCCTAGGGCTTAAACTCTGGGCCTGGGTGCTGTCCCTGGGCTCCTTTTGCTCAAAGCTAACATTCTACCACTTGAGCCACAGTGCCACTTTCAGCTTTTTCTATGGCTGATTGGAGATAAGAGTCTCACAAACTTTCCCGCCTAGGCTGGCTTTGAACCGTGATCCTCATATCTCAGTATCCTGAGTAGATAGGATTGTATATACATGAGCCACCAGCACCTGGCTAAAAACATGTTTTCTTGATAACTCATTCAACCTTGCGAGGCACAATCCTTTTGCAAGATCAGCATGAACCAGTTCCAGAGGGTGATTTCCATATGGAATAATTCCCTGATATTAGGCTTCCACATTCCTTCTCTTCCACATTCATCACCTCAACATCAATATAGACATACCAGAGACCAGCATGTGAACTTTTAGAAAGCACTCAAAGCATCTTCAAACCATAGCAGCAGGTAAAACCAATTTTCATTGTCTTGTTGTTACTGGAAATAAACTTAGGACCTTATGATGGCTAGGCAGATTCTCTACCACTTGAACCATACCTTCAGCCTCTTTCATATTGGTTATTTTAAGGTAGGGTCTCCCTTTTTACTTAGGTGGATATGGGCTGTGATCTTCCTACTTCTTCTTCCTGATGTAGCTGGTGATGACAAATGCATGTCAGTGTGCTATAATACTGTGCTTCCCTACAGTTGGGGCAGTGAGAAATCTGTCACCATACCTAGCCACTGGTTGAGAAAAGGTCTTGAGACTTTCTTTTTGCCTGGGCTAGGCTCAAATCGTGATCTCCAAGTTTTGTCTGCGAGGTAGCCTGGATTACAGGTGTGAACCACCACAACTGGCCAGGCCAATCTGTAAATATCCCCATGTGCATCTAATACATAGCAAAGTTGGATAACCACTCTGGGTCTGAATTACTCACAGTGTGGCCCATAACTAACAACAACCACATCAAACCTAGTCATTTTGTTCAAGCACTGGGGAACCCTCTGCTCTTGTACCTTCCCCCTGCCATCTTGCCCACGTACCACAGTCACCAGCCAACCACAGACTGTTCTCCTGAGTCCACAAACACACCCCTCTTCCTCTCCCCACCTCTGCTCCATGCTTTTGCATGCATCTCCCTGGCAGGTGAGGTGGTACTCATTGGCTGAGGGTGCAAATCACCACAGGATGTTAGCTCTTCACTAGGCCTTCACCTGGAGGCAGGGAGGTAAGCCCTCCTTCCCACATCACACTTTCTTATACCCAAGGAAGGATGTGACTCGGGTCAAAGAAATCTCCTGGTAAGGAAGGGGGTCTGATCACCTTTTCTATTTCTTTATGTAACCTTAGATATGATATCTGGGGCAGTAGAAGCCACACAGGAGGCAAAAGGCAGGAGCCATGAGATGTTACAGATGCAGCACTGCCTCTACTGTGCTGCTTGCTGAGTCAGCACCTCCTGTCTGCCGACTCAAGTCAGGTAGGAAAAAGCAGGAAAAGCAGCCTGCTTGCTCAGCTCTTGAGCAATACCCCAGCTTTCTGTCCTTTCTGCCTGTCCAATTTCTAACCTGTACTGTAAATGCACACTTGCTTAAAGGGCTGTTTTGGTAAAGCACATGTTACTGTGCAAAATGAAGACAGAGGAGGAAAAGAGAAAAATTAGAAAGTAAAAAAAGTGGATTCACATTTCCTTTATATTGCTTTCTATGTCTGGAGGAAACATTAGACTTCTCCAGATGTGAAACTTCCAGTTTTCCTCATCTTCTCCTTCTTTTGTGTCAGTGAAAGCATCACTGAGCAATGAGAGGGAACCAATTTCCCAAGATTTAAATCTCCTTATGTGATAACGACTGCATAAGTACAATGTACAAAACTAGGTTCCAGTTTCTGGCATAAGGATCCAAGCATTCATCATATTCTAGAACATGCCATATAAAAACAACCCGGCATGCTAAGAATTTTTTAATGACACTGGAAAATAAATAAGAAGACAAAATTTTTCTATATATTTAAAATGAATTTAGATCTAAAATTTAAAAAAAGGATCTGGTTTTCGCTTTTCATTTGTTACCCAAAGGTGTCTGTGTACAGCAAGTCATTTGAGTATTTTTAGCATCTGTGTCCAGCCATGTTTCCTAAATGTGGATGTAGTATTTCCCATTCCCTATCTGTCCTATGATACAGAAGGGCTTAGGAGTTGGGTTAATAGAAGAAATGTGGAAGCAGTGACATTAGATAGTTGACTCCTGAGGCTAAGTGTTAGAAAATTTGAACTGGAGCCCTGAGCTGTCATATATGGGTGCCAGTGGTTGGCACTTGTATTCCTAGCTACTCAGGAGGCTGAGATCTGCTAAGGAATGCAGTTTGAAGCCAGAAGTCTTTAAGAGTCTTATCTCCAATTAACTACCCAAAAGCTGGAAGTAGAGTTGTGGCTCAAGTGGTAGAGTACCAGCCTTGAGAAAAAAGCCAAGAACAGCACCTAGGCCCTCAGTTTAAGCCCCAGTACTGACAAGAAAGAAAGAAAGAAAGAAAACAAAAGAGAGAAAGAGAAAGAAAGAGGAAGAAGGAAGGAAGGAAAGAAAGAAAGAAAGGAAGGAAGGAAGGAAGAAAAAGAGAGAGAGGAAGGAGGGAGGGAGGAAGGGAGGGAGGGAAGAAAAGAAGACAAGCCAGCCTATGAAGAGAGACCACATGGAGTTACAGTGAATGGAGACTGGTCCCAGCAATCTCAGCCCCCATTCACATATCCTGAGACAGCACCCATGTGAGAGACTGGGGCTGGAAGATCCAGTGACACCTCCAAATTCCTAGTGCTCCCAAATGTTCATGCTGTAGGACTGGCAGCAACTGAATGCAGCAGTAGATGAGCCAGAGCAGCATGTAAAATCATCTGATTCCATCTGCTGTTTCTTATGTGGTCACCTAGATAGAACAAACACCATTGATATAGACTGGGGTCTGAAGCCAGTCTAAATATCAATGTCTTTGGTGCCCCTCTGTGTTTCTTTGAACTCTGATTCCCCCAACTAGAAGGCTTTTCTTTCTCCTACATCTAGCCCTTTCCTACCTGGGGTCTTGACTGAATTTTACAGCATCCCCATCTCCCACTCTGGCCACAGGTCTCTGAGCATGGGCCCTGTGTCAAGCCAAGGACAGCCAAGGCCATCCCATTCCCAGGTAGAGCACTCACAGGCATGGGGAGTTTAATAAACTACCTTTAGAAATACATCCATCCACTGATATGGGCCTTAGACTCCAGATTTCCAGTGAGAATACAATGGCTTGCTCTAAGTAGAGGGTCTTCCTAGATCTCCAGCCCTGGTATGACCGTAGAGCCCGGTGGGGTGTGGAGCTCTTCGGCTGAAGGTTGTGGGGACTGTGCATGGGAAATCTAGAAGCATGAACAATGACTGAGCAGATGATTTGTGCTGGCTCTAGGCACAGGATGTGGGAAAACAACATATGATTAAAAGTTTAGGGGAACTAGGCATAGTGGCACATACATTTAATCCCTGCACTCAGGAGGTAGAAGCAGGGGGAACTCAGTTTGAGGCCAGCCTGGTTTATATAGTGAGACACTGTTTCAAAATACACAGGGTGAGGGAAGAAGGTTGTGTACTCATTGCAAACATTTATTTTCATCGTATTATATACTTTTAATTTTTTTCTTATAGTTGTTTAGACAGAATATATGCAGATATTTAGTTTATATTTTTCTTTGTTATAAACACTGAAATAGTCCAACTACAGGCTGAAGTATCCAGGCTTCTTTTTACATTTATATATTAGTCCTTCTTAGATTCCTTCAAAAATTATAGCAGGTATGGAGGCTCAAGCCTGTAATCCTAGCTACTTGGGAGCATAGATTAAGGATCTAGATTAAGGATTAAGGCCAGCCAAGGCCAAAATAGTTTAAGAGACTCATCTCAACCAATGGCTAAGCATGGTGGGTATGTGCCTGTCATTTCCAGCAATATGAGGAAGCACAAATAGGAAGATCACAGCCCAGGCTGGCCTGGCAGAGTTCCTGCATAGGAAGGAGGAGGCCCTGAGTTCAACTGCTGACACCACACAAGAAAGGAAAACAGTGTTCATAATACAGAGGGGTAATTTTGACCCTATATCTATTCAGCCTATTTCTTAAGCGGATCCACCTTACTCTTCCACTGAACATCTATTCAGAACTCTCAATGTATCCTACCTGGCAGCATGACAGATTGATTGGGTCACAAATTCTGTAACAGGCTTCCTTTGCAAAAGTTGGGCCTAGTTTGCTTCTCCTTGATTCTGGGATAGCTTAAGAACTTGCTCACAACCAACAAACCCAGAGAGAGTCAAGATGGTCAAAACAAGCTGGCATCCTCCACCTCACCTCCCACCAGTTCCTAGTTACTAGGATCTTAGTTTCTGGTTCTGATCACTCATCTAAACCTCATGTATACCTTATATAGATGGAATCATATGGGATCTGTCTTTTTGTGCGGGCTTATGTCATTTAACATAATGTCCTCACGTTCATCCATATTGTAGCATATGTCAGAATCTCTTTCCTTATTAAAGGCTGAGTAATATTTCATTGGATGCACATACTACATTTTGTTTAACCTTACACATTTTAGTTACTGTGAATAATACTGCTAGGAACATGAGCTTGAAGAAAATATTTCTTCAAGACAATACATCCTGTTCTTTGGGCCATACACTAAAGTAGAAGTGGTGGATTGTACAGACACGATGTTTAATTTTTTTTATTGTGAAAATACTATACAGAGGGGTGACAATTACATGGGCAAGATAATCAGTACATTTCTTATCAAGCATTGTAGTCTCCTCCTTTGTTTCCCCTTCCCATCCCTTCCCATCCTCCCCCTGTACCCCCACCCAATCCTCTGCGCTCCCCCCCCACCAAAGTTGTAAAGTTTTTGACATAAGGACTTGTACATCTCATTGTTGCAATGGGTCCACCTGTATCCCTATTTAAACGATTTGTTTTTCCCCTTCCCCTCCACAAATTATACCGACATCAAATAAAGTGAAAGCAGGGGTTATACTGTGGGGGAGGGACATACAAAGCAACAAAGAGATAGTCTTATAAATGCGTTAAAGAAAAAAAAACATTTGAATACATATCTTAGGGTTCATTTCCCTAACGTCAACTTATCTGACCTTTTCTGCTTGACTCAGACATATACTAGATATTGCAAATAAGGGAAACCATGGGACCTATGTTTCTTTGGGCCTGGCTTATTTCACTTAATATACTTTTTCCAAGCCTTTCCATTTCCTAACAAATGGGTCAATGTAATTCTTTCTGATGGAGGCATAGAATTCCATTGTGTATATATACCACATTTTCTTGATCCATTCATCTACGAGGGGCATCTGGATTGGTTCCATATCTTAGCTATAGTAAATAATGCTGCAATAAACAGTCGTGCTGGTAGCTTTAGTGTGTTCTTGTTTGTAAACATTTGGGTAAATGCCCAAAAGTGGGCTTGCTGGGTCATAGGGGAGATCTATGTGGAGTCTTTTGAGGAACCTCCATACTACTTTCCAAAGTGGTTGAACAAGTTTACACTCCCACCAACAATGCAGTAAGGTTCCCTTCTGTCCACATATGTTTAATTTTTAAAGGTGTCTCCCTGCTATTTTCTAGAGGAATTGGCTTACTTTACATTCTCCATTTTGCTTTTCTTCCCCCTTTCTCCTTACTGTAGCCACCCTAATGCACATGAGGTCAATTAATGTAATCTCATTACTTGGTATTATTTGATGGAATGATTATTTAAAGAAATAGTGTCCGCTAAAGGCAAAACACTAGAAGATACAGGCAAAGGTAATGACTTTCTGAACAGGACTCCAATAGCTCAGGAAATATCAGCACAAACTGAATAAAGGAGGATTGCATCAAATGAAAAAGCTTTCACACAGCCAAAGAAACAATTACCAGAGATAGTCTACATAATAAGAGAACGTATTTGCCAGCTATTCATCAAGAAATGGATTCATATCCAGAATATATAAAGAACTCAAAAAATTAAACACCAAAAGAACAAATAATCCAATCAATACATGGGTAAATGAACTGAATAGACAGTT